CACGTTCATCTGCCCACGTTCATCTGCCCACGTTCATCTGCCCACGTTCATCTGCCCACGTTCATCTGCCCACGTTCATCTGCCCACGTTCATCTGCCCACGTTCATCTGCCCACGTTCATCTGCCCACGTTCCTGCTGTGACATCGAGTCATCTCTCAAGTTCACCTGGAGAATAAAATTCTGTACACGCACTCCGTTGTAATCCTCTTACCCAACAGCCCTTTTCATTGCCTCCCTTTCCCTTCGCGCTTCTGTAAGTGCGCCCCAGAAGCGCTTTTGCGATTCTTTCATGAGCGATTAGGAATGACTGAACCGATGATTTCACTACTGAATGGCAGAGGGGAATGATGAAAGCATAATTACTCTGACCATTGCTAGCCGTGCTTGCAGTCACATTTCCAAGCAGACAGGAGCAACAGGCAGCAGGTTTCAGGGTAGGGAGAAGGGGCATGAGAGAGAACAGGAAGGATTTTCTCGTTCAATCTCTCTCATACTCCCCCTCCTCCTTTCTTGATTCTCTCTGTCTCTGCCTCTGCTCTGATTGGTTGCTGGCCGCAGGCAGAGCTGGCTGATCTGATTGATCTCCCGGCCGTTTTCTGACCCCTCCTGCTCGATTGTTGAATGAGTACAGTACAACTGTAGATGAATGTGTAAAGTCGGAGAACATGTTGATAATGCCACAAACGCTCATATGTATGCGTACTTAGGGCATTTGGAGAACGCTCCGCCTTGTACTTGATGTTTTATGATACAATGAGTCGCCATTTCCTTTCTTTCCTTTCCTTTCTGCTCTTCCTTCTCCTGTAACCGCACGACCACAACTCCCCACTTCCAGATCTCCCTTTCCCTTTTCTCTGTTTGTCTCCTCTTACTTCCACTCCATTCGCTTGTCCGGTTCACTCTCTCCGTTCAATCTTCACATCACATTCATTGCAAAAGACATCAGTGCAAGAACCTTGAAGCGCCTCTTGCTTACTCCACGCTCGTATTTTATCCTTCCCTTACCCAGTCCTCTCTCCCTTTCAACTCCTGTCCTTACTTCCATTCTACTCCTCCCTGGCTCCCCTCTTGCCCGTCTGTCCACAGTTCATCTGTCCACTCCCCTGTCCGTCCGCCCATCTGTCCGTCCATCTCTCTGTTTGCCCATCTATCCCTTAGGAGAAGGCCAATGCTTCTGAAAGGAGAGGGCCCCAGTGGCATGTTTTGGAAGCTTCCCATGCTCCACTCTCGCAACCTCTCCCATATTAACACCCCTCTCAGTCACTGCCGTCACTTGTGCTCTCGTTCTCTCTGTGTGCCTCACGGCATGTACAGAGCGAGGGGACCGGGCGGCAGTGCCAGGGAAGGGGACGAGGTCCTGCTGAACCAAGGCGCTCTACTGAGTTGAGCCATGCACAGGCAGAGAGACTGTGGGACCCACATTCTAAAGACTTTGTCAAGCCTGTTCTTTTTTCTAGGCACGGAGCAAGAGTAGCAATGGGCGGCAGTGCCAGGGAAGGGGACGGGGTCCTGCTGAACCAAGGCGCTCTCCTGAGCTCAGTCATGCTCAGGCAGAGAGACTGTGGGACCCACATTCTAAAGTTTGATCCAAGCGCGTTCCTTTTATTTTCCGCTCCTGTGCTGAGGCATGCGCAGGCAGTGAGACTGTGGGACCCACATGCTGCCAGCCTGGGCCTGCACCTCTGCAGCTTTAGGGTTTTGACATGCCTCAAAACTCAGGAAGCTAGCACACTCCAGTTTTCCTGATCCAGTTTTTTTTTTCCTGCCCTGAGGCATGTGCAGGCAGGGCGACTGGAAAGGACACAGTAGCCTCAATGCTTTCAGTCAGTGTTTGCACTTTCCCTTTCAGCAATGGCTAACCCTTTTATTTCATCCTCATTTCTTCCTTGCAACCATCCCTTGGTATTCCATCCCACCAGATTTTTTTTCACAAGCTGGAGGTGCAATGGAGGATTTTTATCGATGTTAAAAGATGTGAATACATTGAAATTTGGTCACATACACTCAAAAGTATTATGTACTAAATGAGTCCTATGAAAACATTCGTCTGACATGTACTGCCATCCACTCTGACATGTTCATAACGGTGAACCGCGTCTGTCAAAGTGTGGTGGTGGCTTTGAAACACATCGAGTCATGCATTCGTGTGTTTGACGTAGACAGGGTCTGCTCTGCATTTATGTTTCACGGTGCTGATGTGGCATAATCACCAATCAGAATCGTAGGACAACACGTTCTCGTCCACTTGGCCACCAGAGGAGTCCCCAGAATGCTGACAAGCATTTTCCGTCCGCAAAAGCCCCAACCTTCTTCGCTCAAATTTCCGTCAATCAGTTTCATTTATGCATCCATTGATCACAAGCAGGCGTTTTGAATAGACGGAACAAGCCACTACTTCAGGGAGCTCCTTGCAACCGAAACCGCTAGCTCTGGCACGTATCTTCCAGGCTGAAAGCAGTTAGCATATTGGCATGCTTTGCGGCATCACTTACTCTACCACATCATCTGTCCAGTCGAGGCGCCAGAAACCCCTACTGAGTTTTTTTTTGTGATAAGCAGTTTTAATTGGAGATCGCTTCACGCACCGCCAGTTGTGCAACTAGATCGGAAGAAATTGCACTGGATCTAAAGCTGTTTTAAGTAGTGCACGCATCATGGGTGTTTTGTAGTTTCGATGGGTTCGTTTCTGCACTGATCGGAGAATAATTCAACATGGATCACCACGGGGGATCTCTAGATCATCGCGATGGGCCTCTCCTCGGAAATTCTCAACCGTCGGATCGAACTGGCGCTGGTGGGGCGAATCCGCACCATTCATTCCCCCGATGGGGATCCCAAACGCAGATCCACGAATCCGGCTACCGTAGGATTCAGGATTCCGGCGGGGAGCGCGGCGGAACGCGGAATGGAGGGGGAGGAGGAGCGGGTACTACGAGGCGAGGGGGGTTTACCCGGCATAATTCGTGGGGAGGGATGTTTCGTTTGAAGCACTCTCAGTCGCACACGAACCTCATGGCGGCGCCGCTCCCCAAGTGCCTCACGTTCTGGCACCTCATCCCGCTAGGTACTCTTGTAATCCAGTGGGGTGGGGAGTGGGGTTTCAGAAAGCTGCTCCCATACGAACCTCGTGACGGCGCCGCTCCCCAAGTGCCTCACGTTCTGGCAGCTCATCCCTCTAGGTACGCTTCAGGCCATCCCGTTTATTTACGCTTGACTCCATGATCCATCCCTCTAGGTACGCTTCAAGTTCAAGATAATTACGCTTGACTCCATCCCACTAGGTGCGCTTCAGGCCATCTTAGTCCGGATTTCCAAACGGCGATCGGCTGAGACAACGAGCCGGCCGGCCCTGCTTTCCACTACGTCGCATCAGCTACTGAACCACTCTAGGAGCAAGCCTCTGCTTCCAAACCACTCCCCGTCTTGGTCCGATCTGGTCTTGATCTGTTTCGAGCTCCGGACGTTTTCTGAGACCAGTTCTCGAGTGCCTACCGGCCTGGCGGGATCACACCTTATCACACCACACCCCATTCTAACCCATCCTACCCCATCCGATCCGATCCATCCTATCTTAATTTACTCAATTCGATCCAATCCAATCCCATCCGATCCCTTCCCATCCCATCCAGTCCCACCCCACCCCATTCCAACCCATCCCATCCCATCCCATCCCATCCCATCCCATCCCATCCCATCCCATCCCATCCCATCCCATCCCATCCCATCCCATCCCATTCCATCCCATCCCATCCCATCCCATCCCATCGCATCACATCCCATCCCACCCCACCCCACCCCACCCCACCCCACGCCACCCCATCAGCATGCCACTCCATCTTCATCTTCTGCCTGTACAACACCTCCCCCTCCCTCCCTTGCACACCTCCCACCCATCACGGGAGTGCGGTCAACCATAGGCGCGGGAGTGCACGTGCTGATAGGCACAGTGGCGCGGGAAAAGGCCGGACCAGCCCTGCTCCTCCCCTTCCTCCTAGCAGGCCTCCTCAGATTCTGCTGCTCCTCCAACATGCCACTTCCGTGCACCTCCCGGTTTCCTTTCCTTCCTCGCGCCTCACAGGAGTGGGGTCAACCATAGGCGCGGGAGTGTACGTGCTAATAGGCACAGTGGCGCGGGAAAAAGCTGGACCAGCCCTGCCCATATCCTTCCTTATAGCAGCCGTGGCTGCTGGCTTGGCTGCTCTTTGCTATGCTGAGCTCGCCAGTCGCTGCCCGTCTGCTGGGAGTGCTTACCACTATGCGTACACGACAGTTGGGGAAGTGTGAGTGTGCTTGGGGTGGGTGGAGAATAGAGTGTTTCCCTCTTAGCAGCCGTGGCTGCTGGCTTGGCTGCTCTTTGCTATGCTGAGCTCGCCAGTCGCTGCCCGTCTGCTGGGAGCGCTTACCACTATGCGTACACGACAGTCGGGGAAGTGTGAGTGGGATTGGGGCGAGTGTGATATACCTGGGGGAGGGTCGAATGGGGGAGGTGTGCTCTCTGCTACGCTGAGCTCGTCAGTCGTTGCCCAGACGCTGGGAGCGCTTACCACTACGCGTACACGACCGTGGGGGAAGTGTGAGTGCTGTTGAAGGGGGATAGAAGCGTGCTTGGGGGGTGGGTGAGAGTATTGCTGGTTCGACCGTAGCAGCCGTGGCTGCGGGCTTGGCTGCTCTCTGCTACTCTGAACTCGAAAGTCGGTGTCCATCTGCTGGGAGTTCCTATCACTATCCATATACGACTGTGGGGGAAGTTTGAGTGTGTGTGAGGGGGTTGGCCGTTGGGAGGGGTGGAAGTGTGTTTGGAGGAGGAGGTAGTATGGGTGGTTTCAGCATAGCATGCAGGCATGGCTATCAGTATGGGTTATGGCATGGCCCACCGTCAGCGCATTCCCAATGCGTGTCTCTGTTCACCCTCCTGCTCACTCCACTCCACCAGGGTGGCATGACTGATTGGCTGGGCGCTCATTCTCGAGTATATTCCGTGGGTGGGGCAGCAGTATCAATGGCTCAAAGCATGCCTCACACGGTCAAAACATCGCTGATTTGCCTCTCTGTTCTGTTATCCTCTCTTGATGCCTGGACTGGACCCACCAGGGTGGCATGGCTGATTGGCTGGGCTCTCATTCTCGAGTATACCGTGGGTGGGGCAGCTGTGGCTCGAGGCATTTCACCGAACCTGGTAACCCTGCAGAATCAGGGGCGATTTTGCAAGTTTTGGAAATGTTTTGTGCATTCAGCCATGCATGCAGTATTTTGCCGTGCTTTCATGCCTCGTTTCTTAATGCTTATAAGACGACGACGAGCAGACAGACCAACAGACAGACAGCTCGCCTTGTCTCATCCCAACTCGACTCGGGCCCGCCTACCTGTCTTGTTCTCTGTAGATGCCTATGCATTCCCAAATCCATTCTATTGTCTCTCACTTCCCCACGCCCCCCAACCACCTGTTCAGGCAACGGCGTTAGGGGGGGCAGGCAGCCTGCCGTTCATCCTGGCTCGCCTGCCAGTCTCGGGCACAAGTGTGGTCCTCGATCCATGCGCTGCCATCACGGTGGCTCTCGTCACTGCGCTGCTGTCTGCTGGCATTAAAGAGGTGAGGTGCGGTTGCAGCACGTGGGTGTGTGGCCTGCCTGCCTGTCCCAGCCTTCCAGGCGCCACTGTGGTGCCTTCCAGCCTTCCAGGCGCCACTGTGGTGCCTTCCAGCCTTCCAGGATCCGTGCTCTGCATTGCACTCATGGTGGCTCTCGTCGCTGCGCTGCTGTCATGTCATGTCAGCAGGAATGAAGGAAGTGAAATGAGACAGGCTATTATGAGGCAGAGTGCTATGGCATGGGTACAGCAGCACGTGGGTGTGTGGCACGGACGTGGGTGTGTGTCACGCACGTGGGTATGTGGCACGTGGGTATGTGGCACGTGGGTATGTGGCACGTGGGTATGTGGCACGTGGGTATGTGGCACGTGGGTATGTGGCACGTGGGTATGTGGCACGTGGGTATGTGGCACGTGGGTATGTGGCACGTGGGTATGTGGCACGTGGGTATGTGGCACGTGGGTATGTGGCACGTGGGTATGTGGCACGTGGGTATGTGGCACGTGGGCATGTGGCACGTGGGCATGTGGCACGTGGGCATGTGGCACGTGGGCATGTGGCACGTGGGTATGTGGCACGTGGGTGTGTGGCACGTGGGTGTGTGGTTCGCCCGCCTGCGTGTCCTAGGAACCACTATAGTGCTGGATCCATCCGTGTGCTGCCATCATGGCGGCTCAGGCATCAAATCTGGAGTCGACTAAATAAAGAATCGACTCATCACGGAAGTGCCCATCGTTTCTTGTCTTGTCTCACTCTTGTTAATTGTGTTCTTGCACAACAATTTCCCTCTGTTCTGTATGCCTCCAATTTTTCTCTTCTCTTGATCCTAACAGAGCGCCAATTTCCAGATGGGAATGACAATAGCGAATGTGATAATACTGCTGTTTGTGGCGGTGGCGGGGGCATGGATAGGGTTTACCCATGGATGGCCGGGGTACAAGGAGTCTCCAAGGTGGGTAGTTACGTTCTGGTGTGCCGGGGGTGCTTGTGGTGTGTGTTTAGGTGCTTGTGCTTGTGGTTCAGGTGGTGCCTGGTTCAGGTGGTGCCTGGTTCAGGTGGTGCCTGGTTCAGGTGGTGCCTGGTTCAGGTGGTGCCTGGTTCAGGTGGTGCCTGGTTCAGGTGGTGCCTGGTTCAGGTGGTGCCTGGTTCAGGTGGTGCCTTGTGATGAGTCCTCTGACCCGAATCCATACCCTACGTACAGCAACTCCTCTCCTTCCCTTTTCCTCCCTCTCTCCCCTCTCCCCAGCTATCTACCATTCGGTGTGTCGGGGTTGCTGGGGGGAGCGGCAATGGCCTTTTTCTCGTACATTGGATTTGACACCGTTGCCAGCACAGCAGAAGAGGTATGGGGAGTCACTCAGATGCACTAACGCGCTCTCTCACATAGGATTCTATGCTGCTGCTGTCTACCGTTTGGTTTGTCGGGGTTTCTGGGGGGAGCTGCAACGGCCTTCTTCTCTTACATTGGACTCGACACCGTTGCCAGCACAGCAGAAGAGGTACGCTGAACAGCCAAGTGACCACACCTTGTCAACTATGTATGTTGAACTAGGTGCTGCTTCTTCTCTTACATTGGATTCGGTACCGTTGCCAGCACAGCAGAAGAGGTATGCTAGTGAACAGTGAACTCGCCTATGTATGCTGAATTAAATTGATTTTGCTTCTTTTTGCGCGTTAAATCTGAGATTTAACGCACAGAAGTATGGCATGGAAAGTGAACTCGAGGGCATGTGCATTATATTTGAGATTTCACATCACTTGACCTACGCTGGATCATCTGGCATTCGTGGAAGCGCAGCTGAGTATATGTAGGATGTTAACAGCATGCCATTTCTAGGCAGAATATAGCCGTTTCGTGTATAACCTACTGTCACCACGTTTGTGTGTGTGGCATCAATCAACTTGCGAGCGTTGATACAGTTGAAGGTGCTTCATCTGTGTCAAATTTCTTTAAATATCAACGCATTCAGCAACAGAGCAGGTTTTTTGAGGCGCCTCAATAGCGACAGAGCAAGTCGCGTTGAAGGAGCTTGACACAGATGAAGCACATTCAATCAACACGACCTGCTCTGTCGCTGACGTGCTGTGGCTCTCTCCTCATATTTATTTGCTGAGGCAAATCACGCTGGTGATAAGGCCACTCGTGCTACCATAGCTACTGGCGCTCTCCCTTCTCACACCAACCCCCTCTGCTCCCCTCCCAATGCCCTCCCCTCCCCCATTCCCTATACACAGGTGAAGCACCCTCAAAGGGACCTGCCTCTGGGCATAGAGCTTTCCCTGACCTGCTCTGGCGCTCTCTACAAGGTGATAGCGCCACTCTCCCTGCCCATAATTACACTTGCCTATTCTCCAATTTTCTTTCCCCATTTCCCTATACACAGGTGAAGCACCCTCAGCGAGATTTGCCGCTGGGAATAGGCCTGTCCCTTACCTGCTGTGGTGCTTTCTACATGGTGATAGCGCCACTCCACCAGCTGATGCTTACCCTTCTCTCTTCCCCGTACTCTCCCTACCTCCTTCATTTTGAGGCGCCTCAAGAGCAGTGAGGTGCATTTTGAGGCGCCTCAAAAGCAGTGAGGTGCATTTTGAGGCGCCTCAAAAGCAGTGAGGTGCACTTTGAGGCGCCTCAAAAAGCACCCTCCCTACCCCCTTCACTAAACACAGGTGAAGCACCCTCAGAGGGACCTGCCTCTGGGAATAGGGCTCTCATTAACCTGCTGTGGCGCTCTGGACATGGTGATAGCTGCACTCTTTCTGCTCATTAGCCTTCTCTATTTTCCATACTCTTTTTCCCCCCATTCTCTCTACACAGGTGAAGCACCCTCAGCGTGATTTGCCTTTGGGAATAGGCCTTTCCCTCACATGCTGTGGCGCTCTGTACATGGTGATAGCGGCGGTGCTGGTGGGGTTGACTCCGTTTGACTGCATTGACCCGGACACGCCCATGGCTCAGGCGTTTGACACCTACCAGCTAGACTGGGCCAAGTGAGTGAGGGAGTGGTGTGAGGAGTGAGTGTGAGGAGTGAGTGTGAGGGAGTGCGAGGGAGTGCGAGGGAGTGGCGGTGCTGGTGGGGTTGACTCCGTTTGACCGCCCATGGCCCAGGCGTTTGACACCTACCACCTAGACTGGGCCAAGTGAGTGAGAGAGGGAGGGTGTTAGGGAGTGGCAGCGCTGACGGTCTACCTGGGCGGTGCTGGTGGAGTTGACTCCGTTTGACTGCATTGACCCAGATACTCCCATGGCTCAGGCGTTTGACACCTACCAGCTAGACTGGGCCAAGTGAGTGAGGGAGTGGTGTGAGGGAGGGTTGAGTTAGTGAGTGGGTGTGTAAGGGAGAGGTTGAGTGAGTGAGTGAGTGTGTATGGGAGTGGTTGAGTGAGTGAGTGGGTGCGTAAAGGAGTGAGTGAGTGAGAGAGAGGGTGAGTGAGTGAATGAGTGAGTGCGCACCTTATATGTGCAAGATAGAAATGGGCAAATTGATATCTATCATTATGTCTTGTGTAACAAGTCTGCTTTTACCGCACGTTTGTACACATGTGCTTGTGTCGCAGGTACCTTGTAACAGGGGGTGCGCTAGCAGCTCTCTCCACTACTCTCCTCGGATCACTGCTGCCCCAGGTGGGTGCCCTGTCTTGTCACATCTCACCCGCTGGCCAGCGGCTGCTGCCCCAGTTAACAGGCAGGGTGTACGCATCTCTCTTAGCTGGGGCCTTGTCACATCTCACCCGCTGGCCAGCGGCTGCTGCCCCAATGGACAGCAGCTTTCTTCACAGGTAGTTACAGTACGCGTCTCACCTGCTGCTTCAGGTGCTTCAGGTGTTTTTGCACCTGCATCTGCAGGTGACTTTAGCAATTGGTGGCGGTATTTAGTAGCACCTGCTACTACCTTCTTGTCTGACAGTCAAGTTACACGTGATGGTTTTGTGTGCTTCCTGCTGTTCAGTCGTCACACTTTCCCTACACGCTTCCCCCACACCCCCCCACAACCTCCCTCCCTCCAACCACATTTCCCCCTCACTCGCACATCCTTCCCCACATTCCGCCATCCTCATGTTCATGCCTGGGTGCAATCTCCTCCCTCCTCCCTGCCTAGTATTTAGTAGCACCTCCTAGTACCTTCTTGTCTGATAGTAATTTACAATCTATGGTTTTGTGCACTTCCTGCTGTTCAGTCGCCACACACTTGCCACACTCTCCCCACAACTCCCCCCCCCTCCAACCACATTTCCCCCTCACTCCTACATCCTCCCCCACATTCCCGCAATCTCATGCTCATGGCTCGAACCACTCTCCTCCCTGCCTGGCGTAGAGACCCCCTCGTCCCCTCCCTCCCTCCACCTCCACCTCTTCCCCCTTACACCCCCAACCATTGCCCCAAACCGTTCCCCCCCAACCGTTCTCCCCCACAGCCGTGCATCCTCATGCTCATGCCACGGGACGGCCTCCTCCCAGCCTGGTTCCATGACACTCCATACACACTCTCGTTAAACTTTCCCACCCCCACCCGCCCCCCTCTCACACAGCCCCGCATTCTTCTGATGCTCATGGCGTGGGACGGACGGCCTCCTCCCAGACTGGATCGACTTGTGATGCGCCTCAATCTCCTCACCCCTGCTGCCCCCTCCCTTACCCCCCACCCCTTCTCCCCCCCCCCCAGCCTTGCATTCTGATGGACGTGGCTCGGGACGGCCTCCTCCCAGCCTGGTTCTATCACACGCCATATGCACGCCATACATACTCCATAAACACTCCCCACACATCACCCACACACTCCCCTCCACACACAGCCGCGCATCCTCATGGATATGGTGCGCGACGGCCTCCTCCCAGTGTGGTTCCACTCTTGAATCCATGCACACTCCCCCTCACTTCCCTCCCCTCGCTACACAGCCGCGCATACTAATGGTCATGGCGCGCGACGGTCTCCTCCCAGCGTGGTTCGGCCGCATCGACAAGGCCACGGGCGTGCCTCAGAACGCGACAGCTGTCACCGGGCTATTGGCCGCCGCCATGGCGTTTGTGCTGGATATTGGGCAGCTGTCAGGCATGGTGGGTGGGCGGGTGGGGTATGGTTGGGAGGAATAGGAGGCGTGACTGGGGAGCTTGGGGAAAAGGGGGAGCATGCTGTCACAGCTCGCATGGGCTATCGGCCGCCGCCATGGCGTTTGTGCTGGACATCGAACAGCTGTCGGGCATGGTGGGTTTGGGAGAGGGGGAGGATGGGATGTGAGTGGGGCTTTTCGTGTAGTCTTCAAGACTGAGGAGTGTGGGAAGCACCGGGAGCGTGCATTCACCGGGCTGTTGACCGCCGCCATGGCGTTCGTGCTGGATATCGAACAGCTGTCGGGCATGGTGGGTTGTTGGGGGGGGGGGGAGGGGGAGACAACGAGCAAGGTTCTCTGGGTAGCGCTGGTGCACACAGGAAGTACGGTGAGCATGGTGGGCAGTGGGCATGGTGGGCATGGTGCGCATGGGGAGCGTGCTGTCACCGGGCTATTGCCTGCCGCCATGGCGTTTGTGCTGGACATCGGCCAGCTGTCAGGCGTGGTGGGTGGGCGGGGAGAGGGATGAGATGTGAGCGGGGCTTTAATGTACTGCCATGCGGGGAGCTGCCATGGCGTTTGTAGCCAGCTCTTGACCGGGCTATTGGCCGCTGCCATGGCGTTTGTGCTGGACATTTGACAGCTGTCAGGCATGGTGGGTGGAGGGGGGGGGGGGGGGGGGGACAACAAGCAAGCTTCTCTGTGTAGTGCTATCATGAGGAGGGGCTATTGGGATATTGGGCTCGCATGGGCTGTTACCTGCCGCCATGGCATTCGTGCTTGATATCGGACAGCTGTCAGGCATGGTGGGTTGGAAGGGGGTGGAGGGAAGGGGGGGGGTAAGTGCGGTCCATGGTGAGTGGGGGGCACAATCATGGCATGGTTTTCATAGTCATCTTGTTTATCATTACCTCTTCTTCCTTTCAACCCTCCTCGCATTCATCACTGTCAGCCTCTCAGCCCTCACCATTTCGTGATTGATAATCCGCCTATCTCCTCCCTTTCTCTCGCACTCCTCCTCTCTCGAATGGTCCTTGCATAAATTGATGGGTGATCAGTGTGGGCACCCTTCTCGCCTTCACCTCCGTCAGCCTCTCTCTCAGTCCTCATCCTTCTATGATTGATATTCTTTCTCCCGTCCTCCTCTGCTCACTGTCGCCTCCTCTCCCCCTCTCTCCCTGTCTGCCTCCCCCGTGCAAACACACAGGTCAGTGTGGGCACCCTTCTCGCATTCACCACTGTCAGCCTCTCAGTCCTCATCCTTCGCTACACCCCTCCCTCCTCTCCTCCCACCCCTCTCCCCTCCTCACACACCCCTTCCCTCCTCCCCTCCTCCTCCTCTTCCCACAACCAACCCCACTACCCCTCATCCTCCTCCTCCCGCCCCTTACCAGCCTATGCATTCTCTCCCCCTACTCGACCCCAGTATATAACATCCTCTCTTCCAACTGCCGCTGCAGGGGCGGGTTTCTTTGTCTCTTCCCCTCTCCCGGTCGGCCAATCCAGTGTGTTCCAGCACATGGGATCGCCTGACAGCCTGGGCACATCTCCAGCCGTTGAAATCCGATCCAACGGCCAGCTGCAGTCCGTGTTTTCGCTCACTCCCAACTCGTTTCAAGCACCACTGCTCACACGGTTGCTTGAAGAGAGGGTGGGAGAGGGGGAGGGGGAGGGAGGGGATGAGGAGGAGAGGGAGGAAGAAAGAGGGGAGAAGGAGGAGAGTGAGGAGGAGGAAGGGGAGGAGGAAGGGGAGGAGGACGGAGGAGAAGAGCGAGAAGAGGAGGAATCAGATTCTCAGAAACGGAAGCAGCAGCACCATACAGCAAACCTTTCCACCGCATGCAACACCACAGTATCGAGAGGAATGGGTGATGAAGCTACTGTTTACATCGCCACTGAGAGGAACACTCCAGGAGCCACTATGCTCTCAGTGAGCAACGCTGCAGGAGCCAGGAAACAGGGTTCTGCTCACCCCGCTACTATCTCACCTTGTACAGTCACTGCTCCGGCCACTACCACTGCTACAGCCACTGCCACTGCTGCAACAGCCGCCCCTGCACCAACATCTCACAGACGACTTGCCTCTCGAGCCATTGTTGCCGTCTCCCTGGGTGCCCCCCTCCTTGCCGCTGCTGCTGCTGTGGCTTCATCGTCTGCTGACCTCTCCATCACAGATAAGTGAGTTACGGACCCCCCCGCTCTCAACCGCCTCACATCCCACAGACGCCTGGCATATCATCTCGAGCCATTGTTGCCGTCTCACTGGGTGCCCCTCTGCTTGGCTTGGCGCTGCTGCTGCTGTGGTGTGGCTCCGGATTCTGCTGACCTCTTCAGTGCACGGTGAGTAATGGTGACCTACTCTCCACAGCTGCTGCTGCATCCCACAGACGCCTGGCATCTCGAGCCATCATCGCTGTCTCACTGGGTGCCCCTCTGCTTGCCGCTGCTGCTGCTGTGGCTCCGGCTCCTGCTGACCTCTCCATCACAACAGAGTGAGTAATCGTCCCCCCTCTCTCCACAGCCTCACATCCCACAGACGCCTGGCCTCTTGCTCTCTCTCTCTCTGGTGGTAGCCCTCCTCCTTGCCGCTGCCGCTGCTGTGGCTCCGGCTATTTTTGAGTCGACTCAAGAGACGCCTGGCCTCTCGGGCCGTTATTGCTGTCTCTCTGGTTGTCCCACCCCTTGCCTTGCCGCTGCTGCTGCAGCTTCGCCTTCTGCTGACCTCACCAGCACAGAGTGAGTCAAGGCTTGACTGTCAAGCTCTCCTTACAGCCTTTCTCGCTGCAGCTTCCTTCCGGTGACAGTCAGCCAGGCTTCCGGTGACAGCCTTCCGGTGACAGTCAGCCAGGCTTCCGGTGACAGCCTTCCGGTGACAGTCAGCCAGGCTTCCGGTGACAGCCTTCCGGTGACAGTCAGCCAGGCTTCCGGTGACAGCCTTCCGGTGACAGTCAGCCAGGCGTCTCTTGAGTCGAACAGGTGGGTTAGTACTATTTGGAAGCCTCCTTTTCGGCTGCCGCACCTGTTGCATTGGATTGCCGTCTGCTGACCTCGTCAGCACAGAGTGAGTCAAGCTTTTCCTCTCTCTACAGCGCCTGCTCCTGCAGCTTCCGGTTAGGGTGAGATTTTCAGGCTTGTACTTACTGACGAAGGCTTGTCAAGGCCGAAACTAGTGTACACAATGTTCTGATCTATAGTGAAGAGTTGATCCATACTGGCTCTCTAAGAAACGTTCTAAGCTAGCGCAACACCAGGTTCCTTTCTGCCATCATCACATGGGGTTTGTTTCTCTGTCCTAAACAACAAGAGTTGATGAGAATAAGGCCTCTGCAGCCCACCTGTTCTAATTCGACAGCTTCAGCACAGAGTGAGTCAAGATTTTCCTCTCTCTACAGCGTCTGCTCCTGCAGCTTCCATTTAGGGTTCCGGTACTCACTCATTCCTGCCTGGGAGCTTTCCTCCTTGTTTTGTTGCCGCTGTTGCTGCAGCTTCGCCTTCTGCTGACCTCGTGAGCACAGAGTGAGTGACGATTTTCCTCCTCCCTACAGCCGTTCTTGCTGCAGCTTCCGGTTAGGATTACTTCTCCCCGGAAGCCTCCTTTGCTGGTTTTGAGGCGCCTTTTGAGGACTTTTGAGGTGCCTCAAATGTCTTCCGGTTGGAATTACTTCTCCCTGGGAGTCCCCTTCTTTGCTGTTGCAGCTTCACCTTCTGCTGACCTCTCTAGGGAAGAGTGAGAAAGGTTGTTCTCTCTTCATAGCGGCTGCTATGGCTGTGGCCACCGCCACCTCTGCAGTCATTGCCACTGTTGCGAAAATCTACTGTGTATCTACTGTGTATCAACAGTGTCTTTTCTGCTCCTATTTTTCTCTCCAACGTCCCCTCACCCTGTCTCCTGCCGTCTCCCCTGTCCCCTACCCTCTCCTCTGTCCTCTGTCCCTTCTTCCCCCTCCCCTCTCCCCTCCCCTCCCTCCAGCTGGTTACCTCTCCTACTATTCTCTCTGGGCGGCCCACTGTTCCTCGGAGGGGCGGCAACGCTTGGATGTTTCAATGAGGACGAAGGACGGCACCAGTTCGGATCAGCAGGCTACCCCCTCCTTCCCCCTCCCTCCCCCCCCCTCCAGCTGGCTACCTCTCTTACTATTCTCTCTGGGCGGCCCACTGTTTCTCGGAGGGGCGGCAACGCTTGGATGTATCAATGAGGACGACGGAAGGCACCAGTTCGGATCAGCAGGAGGTGATGATTACAAACTCGAGTCCAAAAATCAACTTTCCAGGATCTCATGAGTCACTTTCAAGAATTCTCAAATTCTCGACTCAAATCAACATCCCTTTGTTGCTGCTGTGCCTTCCCCTCTCTTGCATCCTTTACTTTCCTACATAAACCTTTCCCACTCTTCCTCCCCCTCCCCCTTTTTCCACCCCTATTCCCCGTTCAAAAACAACTCTCCAGGTTTCCACTGCCCCTGGGTGCCGTGGCTTCCCCTCGCCAGCATTCTTGTCAACGTGTATCTCATGGCGAATCTGGGGTGAGCATAAGCCTGGCAATCAGACTCAAGTAGACTCAAGCAGGTCAAGCAGGTCAAGCAGGTCCCAGTTCCCCTGGCCTGGGTGCCGTGGTTTCCCCTTGCCAGCATTCTTGTCAACGTGTATCTCATGGCGAATCTGGGATGAGTACGGGTCAAGCAAAGTCAACCAGAGTCAACGCCTTTCTCATGGGTGCCGTTACTTCCCCTTGCCATCATCCTCGTCAGCGTGTATCTCATGGCGAACCTGGGGTGAGAACGAGTCAACCATAGTCAACCATAGTCAACCATAGTCAAGCAGGGCGTTGATGCCCCTGAAAGGGAGTTAAACCGGGCTAAAGCCACTCGGCCGTTTACCTCGCCAACGGAATTCGCGATAGTGCTGTCGGCCAAGCCCACGCGTTGGGCCCTCTTACGCCTCTTCCCATGCCCCTCTCCCTCCTTCCCCCACTTCCTATCATCCAGCGCCACCACGTGGCTCTACTCCTCCTCGTGGCTCGCCATAGGAGCACTCGTGTACCTCGCCTACGGAATCTGTCATAGTGCTCTGGGGTAATCAAACCCGCGCGGCTGGCCGTCCTTCATCTCTTTCCGTCCTCCCCTCTCTCCCCAATCACCCCCAGTGCCACCACGTGGCTCTACTCCTCCTCCTGGCTCGCTATAGGAGCACTCGTTTACCTCGCATACGGAATCCGCCACAGTGCTTTGGGCCAAGCCCACGCGCCTGGTCCGCGCGTTCTGGATGCCTCAAAGCGCACGGCTAGCTGGTGGAACCTGGGCACGCCGTTTGAGGAGTGGGTGGTGCAGCAGACGCACAGGCAGGCAGGCAGGCAGAGAGACACTGGTGTAAGGTAGGGATGGGTGAGAGAGAGGCATGGGTGGTAGGCGTGCAAGCAAGCCCACGCGCCTGGTCCCCGCGTTCTGGATGCTTCTAAGCGGACGGCTAGCTGGTGGAACCTGGGCACACCGTTTGAGGAGTGGGTGGTGCAGCAGACGCACCGGCAGGCAGGCAGGAATAGGGACACTGGTGGCAGGTAGGGATGGGTGAGAGGCATGGGTGGTGGGCCTGCCAGCAAGCCCACGCGCCTGGTCCCCGCGTTCTGGATGCCTCAAAGCGCACGGCTAGCTGGTGGAACCTGGGCACGCCGTTTGAGGAGTGGGTGGTGCAGCAGACGCACAGGCAGAGAGTAAGACAGACAGACAGAGGGGCACCGGTGACAGAGAGGCATGGGTGATACGGGAGCAAGGGTAAGGCATGTAGACGCCTGATGTGAGACAACAGGTGCACTGCCAGTTGAAGGAACCTGGGCACGCCGTTTGAGGAGTGGGTGGTGCAGCAGTCGCACCGGCAGGCAGGGGTTGGGCAAGGGCAAGACAGGTAGAGAGAGAGAGAGAGAGAGAGAGAGAGAGAGAGAGAGAGAGAGAGAGAGAGAGAGAGAGAGAGAGAGAGAGAGAGAGAGAGAGAGAGAGAGAGAGAGAGAGAGAGAGAGAGAGAGAGAGAGAGAGAGAGAGAGAGAGAAAACAAGGTTTGCGACTGTGAGCAGGCATGCTTCTGGGCCTCTCGCTTTCTGGATCCCTCCAAGCGGAGAGGAGGAGGCATCCAGAAGGGGAGAGAAGGGAAGGATGGGGAATTGGTGCAAGGAGAGGGAAGGGAAGCAGAGGGGATTGGTACAAGAACCATCAACACAGCTTCATATAGCACAATGTGTTTCGTTGCTAGCTGGTCATGGTTCCATTTCTTGTAAATATCGTTACGACATGACTGGTGTAATCGTCAACAAATTTCCGAGCATTACTGTTTCCTGCAATACGCATTCAAATTGGTGTTCTCGATTGCATGTGTGCGAATTATACGGTTGTAGCAGTTGTGATACCCTAGTCTATACACATGCACAGTTTAGATAGCAACGGGAAAAGTGCACGGAGAAATACATGCTCTTTTTAATGCGTAACAAAATAGCTACACTCATCTGGCCACACCGTTACAACTAGGACACAATACCAACCCATTCTCGTTACACACACCACACTCAATAAACCCACCCCCACCACTACCAGAACCAGCAGCAGCAGCTACCTTCCTGCTTCCATGGCAATAGTTACACGGAACAAACCGCGCATCCCCACAACCCCTACACACACTCCCACCACCAGCACCAACAGAAGAGCCACCAGCACCAGCAGCAGCACTAACAGACAAACTACGCCGTGCGCTGGCCGCTACAGCCGCTCCGCCCCCCGCCGCCTTGAGCCACACAACCAGGGCGTCTAAGGCCCCCTCCTCGTACAGCTGTAGCACCTCCTCTGTGCCACCCACGTGCCGTCCTCGGATGAATAGCTGCGGGACACGTGGCATGTCCCCCGCGAACAGCAGCAGCAACTCGTCCTGATAGGCCGGGTGAAGCGCCACGTCACGCTCCTGGAAGCGCAGGTGGAGGCTCTGATTGGTTGGAAGCAAATGGGGAAAGTAAAAGGTGGTGGAAGGGGTGGGAAAAAAGGGAGAGGAGGGGGGAGGTGAGGGGGGAGGTTGAATACTGATTGAATGGCATCAGCAGCTGGCACTGAAAGGGCATACAGAGCCCCCTCCTCATACAACTGTAGCACCTCCTCTGTGCCGCCCACGCTGCCTGCGCACGAATAGACACGTGGCATGTCCCCCGCGAATAGCAGCAGCAGCTCGTCCTGATAGGCTGGGTGAAGCGCCACGTCACGCTCCGGGAATCGCATGTGAAGGCTCTGATTGGGTGGAAGGTAAGAGGGGGAAGGGTGGGGGAAGGGGTGGGGGGGATGTAGGAGGGGTGCATGGAGATCGAACAGCAGCAGCAGCTCGTCCTGATAGGCTGGGCAGTGTCACGTCACGCTCCTGGATGCTGGGTGAAGCGCCAAGTCGCACTCTTGGATCCGCAGTTGGACGCTCTAATTGGTGAGAGGCACATGGGGTAAGGGTGGGGGATGGGGGGTTTTGGAAGAGTTTTGAGGCGCCTCAAAACTTGTAGGAGGGGACTGGAAGGGGGGGTTGTACATATTTCGAGAAGCATCTGCAGCTTGCCACGCTCTAGAGAATTCTCAGGAGTAATCTCCAGGAAGGGGAGGGTGTATCGAGAGGCATAAGCAGCATGTCAGGCCCCTGGAAGCGCAGACGGAGACTCTGATTGGTTGGGAGTTGGCACATGGGGGAAGGGTTAGGGACGATGGGAGAGGGGGTGAGGTAGGGGGGAGGCTGCATGGAGCTTCAATAGGAGCAGCAGCTCGTCCTGATAGGCTGGGTGCAGTGCCACGCCATGCTCCTGGAATCAAACATATGGAGACTCTTGACTCGACACAGTCAGAACGCCTCCAGTGACGTCACATCAAGCACCATAAGCTCCTCCCCCTCAGTTGCCTTCCCCCCACACACGCCATTATCTTCCACACACGCATGTGCAAGTCACCACTCACCTTGAGCAGTGCTCTCATCTTCACACAGTCAGCATGCGCCTTCCTCACAGCCTCCAGCAACGTCGCATACACCACCAACAGCCCCTCCCTCGCTTCCCCCCCACGACTTTCGCCTTCTTCCATACACCAGTCACCAGTGTGCAATCTTCTCACCTTGAGAAGTGCTCGCATCTTCACACAGTCAGCATGTGTCTTCCTGACAGCTTCAAGCGAAGTCACATAAAGCACCACCAGCTGCTCCCCTCCAGGCGGGCAGTTCACCTCAAACCGACTCACCGCTGCTGCCACGACCGTCCTGCTACTCGTGCAAACCTCTTACCTTGAGCAGAGGTCTCACCTTCAGGAGAGCTCTCATCTTGACACAGTCAGCATGAGTCTTCCTCACAGCCTCCAGTGACGTCACATACAGCACCACCAGCTGCTCCCCTCCAGGCGGGCAGTTCACCTCAAACCGACTCAGCTCCCGCTCCAGGCACTCCGCTGCTATCCCCGCCACTGCTGCCAGCGACCGCTCTGCTGCTATCGAGGCTGCTTGTATGGGATCGCTCTCAGGAGCGAAGGAAGGATCGCTCACAGAAGCAGAGGAGGGGTTGCTAGCACGAGGTGCATCTGTACGTCGGTCTGCCATGTCCTGTCTCTGCTGTGCCGATACCAGTGGCTCGTTTTGATGATCGGCTGAAGAGCCCGTTTGAGGCGCATCAGAAGAGAATCCATCCCTGTGACCATGACTACTACTATCATCATGACCATGACTTTTACCATCACCACGACCACCACTATAATCATCACCACCATGCCTATCACCATCGCCACCGTCACCATCATCAGCACACAGCTGCAGCAGCTCCTCTAATGCCTCCATATCCACATCATCCTCGTTATAGTGCCGCCTCTCAGATTCGTTAAGCTGCTGAAAGGAACGCTCCAAGTGATCGTTTACCCCCTCCAAGGCGTCACCATTATCCCTTCTCTCCCCTTGGTCACTCTCCCTTGTGTCACTCTCCCTACTGTCACACGCCAAAGCACCCGTTACAGCACCTTGAACATCTCTATCCAAAGTAACCATCCCGTCTGACCGAATCTCTTCGGATCGAATCTTTTCTGACCGAATCTTCTCCCTATCTGAAAGCACATCCCTCTGCTGCTGCTGCTGCTGCTGCTGCTGCACTGAGTACGTTCCTCCCTCAAACTCACTCGCTCCTGCTCCTTCTCCTACTAGTTCCCTTCCTCCTACGTCTCCTGCCCAACCTCCCTCCACCGCTTTACATCGCTCAACACCGTTTCTCTCTCTATCCTCCTCCCCTGGAGCCTCTAGCCTCCCTCTTTCCGTTTCTCTTTCCAGTTCATCTCTCAACGCCTTACCCCACTCCCCCTCCTCCTCCCCCAACGCCAACTCAGTTCCTCCCACTCGCCCCCCTCCCTCTCCCATTTCCTCCCCTTCCTCCTCCTCTCCTTCTCCCTCCTCCCCATCACCCCCCTCCTTTTCTCCCCCTTCCTCCACATCATCGCCCTCCCCCAACCCCGCTAGTAAATCACCCATATCAATCCCCTCCTCATCCCCCTCTTCCTCCTCCTCCTCCCCTCCATCTAACACCCCTTCCAAATCAATCACATTCCCATCCTCGTTATAACCACCTCCAAAAGAATCACCTCCCGCTCTCCCCTCTCCCCCACTCCCCTCTCCTCCCCTCCCTTCCAGCCCTGCACCTCCCTCCCACTCCTCCCCGCGAACCCTAAAAGAGGGTAAACCCAGTAATCCCCCCATTCCAGGTGCCACATCCCCTAGCTCTGGCCGCTGCAGCAGCAGCGCGGCAGGGTCGGGAGTGGCATCGTCTGCCTTCATACGCGCTATAGCCTCCTCCACTGGATCGTCTAGAACCACCATCGGGAGAGGGAAGGGGAGAGGGGGAGGGTTTGAAGAAAAAGCAACAATGGGGGTGTTGAGGCTGCTAGACGCTGCTGCTGCTGGTGCCGCTGCTGGTGCCGCTGCTGGTGCTGCTGCTGGTACTGCCACAGGTGCAGGTGCAGACGCTGCTGATGGTTCCGACGGCCGCACTGTTGCTACTACACCTACTAGTTTCTGGGAAGGGGTTACTAAGGACTGTTGCCGCATGTTGCCCTGCTGTTGAAACCATCCGAAAAAATGCCGTGCGGAAATTCTGCTCTGGTGTTACTTGAAATCTTACTTCCTCGTAATGCTTCGGAAAGTATGGCTGATGTTGGTGGGCATTATGCTTTTCGAGCTGTGTGTGAGCAGAGCGCTCTCACCACATTCCCGACTTCGAGGAGCCAACCACGGAGCAGTTAGTATTGGTTCGGCAGTAGCACGATTGGGTGTCCCTCGATTGAGGAAGGCACCACTAGCTTCGGATTGGCTTTGGTGTCCTCCAACATTGTTGGACCGCCAATTGTTAATCCAACCCGTTCCCTTTACGATAGTTTCGAAATCTAGTGCTGACGCTGAATTTCAAAATCTGATATATATTCATTGTTTTGCGGGATTCAGTTTGTGACTAATACAAAGTTCTTTAATCGAGCGGGTAATACAATTGATATGCTGCTGCAAAGATCTCGCTATAAGTCACTCCGTTATTTAATTTGTTACAAATCGATTTGTTTATTTTCCAATACAATTAATCAATATTACTATTTAACCTAGGGAGCCGTTACTGAATTTGATTTTTTTTTTATAAAAGCACGTTTACTAATTAAAATTATACCTGTAACAGGGAAACCTACAGCAAATATTGCTACATTTACAAAACACCAAAACTAGTACGTGTGAGCATTAGCTACAAAGTTCTCGAGACCCTCACCACTAATAAAAACAACATCACTACGCGCGAACGACCATGCCCCAACAGACGGCCGCTACCAGGGACCACCTGCGGCCGTTGCTCCTCCAATTGCAGCTCTTGTCCAGTTCCAAATCTTGTTGTAATAGATGTTCACATCGCGAATGTTGTCGTTGGTGCTTCTCGGCAAATCACTGCCGTGGATGACGCGGTGCTCCACCTGAGTTTGTAGGAAACACCATGATTAATTTCTGCACTAGAAAATCCTTAGAATCGTGTAACAGATGCAGCAAACTACACTCACCCCATTCAGCCAGAATGCTAGTAACTTCAGCGGGAGAATAAGCCTGCGACCTTGGGGCCGCTTGAATGAGGCGGCAATTGCATTGATGAAGCGAGGTGTTGCAAACGGCACACGGTGCTCATTCATGTGCCAAGTGAGCATGTCGTACGATGCAGCGCCTGTCGTGTTGTGGGGGAAAGATACGATACTTTGTGAAACAATTGAAATGTGAATCATTAGTCAGGCAAGGCTATCACCCTGCTGGTTTTGCTTGCTGCTGGGGTGGGGAGGGGAAAACAGGGGGGAACAAGGGTGCACTGGTGACTGTTGGGCTGTCACCTTGCTGGTTTTGCTTGCTGCTGGGGTGGGGAAGGGAAAACAAGGGGGAACAAGGGTGCACTGGTGACTGTTGGGCTGTCACCTTGCTGGTTTCGCTTGCTGCTGGAGTGGGGAGGGGAAAACAGGGGGGAACAAGGGTGCACTGGTGACTGTTGGGCTGTCACCTTGCTGGTTTTGCTTGCTGCTGGGGTGGGGAAGGGAAAACAGGGGGCAACAAGGGTGCACTGGTGACTGTTGGGCTGTCACCTTGCTGGTTTTGCTTGCTGCTGGGGTGGGGAGGGGAAAACAAGGGGGAACAAGGGTGCAATAGTGACTGTTGGGCTGTCACCCTGCTGGTTTTGCTTGCTGCTGGGGTGGGGAGGGGAAAACAGGGGGGAACAAGGGTGCACTGGTGACTGTTGGGCTGTCACCTTGCTGGTTCCTTGCTGGTTTTGCTTGCTGTTGGGGTGGGGAGGGGAAAACAGGGGGGAACAAGGGTGCACTGGTGACTGTTGGGCTGTCACCTTGCTGGTTTTGCTTGCTGCTGGGGTGGGGAGGGGAAAACAGGGGGGAACAAGGGTGCATTGGTGACTGTTGGGCTGTCACCTTGCTGGTTCCTTGCTGGTTTTGCTTGCTGCTGGGGTGGGGAGGGGAAAACAGGGGGGAACAAGGGTGTACTGGTGACTGTTGGGCTGTCACCTTGCTGGTTTTGCTTGTTGCTGCAGTGGGGAGGGGAAAACAGGGAGAGAAAGACGGTTAAGGGTTTAGGACCGGGCTGTGACTTTGGTGGGGTAGGGGCGGGGGTCTGATAGGAGTGTAAAGTCATGCTCACTTTCAGCGTACAGGTCCAAGAACAGCACGGTCGTGAGGGTGCCTTCTCTCTTCCCACCAAGCCTCGGTCTTGGCACGTGCAAGTCGAAGGCATCGTACACCCAATTGCGCCCATCCGTCAAGGCATCGTTGCGAAACGCTTGAATCAAATCACGGATGTAGCCGTTCCTGTATTTGTCAGCTTTCAGAACAATACGCACGATGAAATGCTCCTCCGGCTCTGTGAGGCCTAGGGCCCTGCGCAAGGCTGCCTCTAGGCGTTCGGTACTAGGCCACATTGTAAAATCAGTGACTGGGGTGTCAAAAAACATGATATCAAGAGCCTCATCCACGTATTCCTGTAGTAGGGCAACAAAAATAGTGCACAAAGCGGCAGAGTGGGAGAGAGAACAAGGGAGGGAAGGGAGGGCGAGAATTCATGTGGCATGAGGAGTCTGCGGGGTGGGGGATACAGGTACCCAATGCTACATTACTACCGCGGCCATATTTGAGATTCTATGCCAATGACATTTGAAAGCACGACGAACATTCAAACGAATGGTTGCTGCTCACCTTAAGGTCATCGTGCACATCCGGAAAAGCATTCAACGCCGTGATGACGTTATTGTACCACCCGCATTGCCGTGGCGACATTGCAGAGCAGTCGATGGCCTGCCGCTTGATGTGCGCCTTTGCCACAGCACGGCTAAAAGCGGCATGCGTTCGTGGCCACACCACTGGTGAGAAAATCAGGGGGTGTGTTGCATTCGGCTGGGTGCAAGGTCGAGTGGTTGAAGGAGCAAGCTGGGGTGCAACCGGCAACTGTTGGGAAGGGCTGGGCAAATTAGCCTGGCGCTGAACCATGGCGTGACTGCCAGCATGAGGGCCTTTTTGCTGAGGTAGCTGATTCTCCAGCTCAGCTATGCGTCGCGCCTGTTGTCGGATTTGAGCTTGCGCGGCCTCAAGAATGGCTCGCGAAGTACTGGTTGCAACAGGCCGCTGTTCACCACCATGCTCAGCTTGATTCTCCAAAGAGTCATCATCGTCGGAGTCTTCATCCGACCCAGCCTCCACATGTGATGGTCCAGGGTCTGGGAGAGCGGACTTCTGTTTGCGCACACGAAGTGTCCATGGGAGTCCGGACGGCTGCAATTGTGTAGCAGGGGGCGCCACTACAGCAGCAGGAGTTGCGGAGGCTGGTGGGATGAGGCCGGAGCCAGGCTGACCTGAGTTGGTGGGGTGGAACTCAGGATTGATATAGGAGGTAGAGGGTGAGAGAGCACTGGGAGCAGGTGGCAGGGAGGTCCATCCAGGTGCAACGGCGGGCCTGGACTGTGCAGGAACAGAGTCATGCACATAGGCAGCAGAGGGAGAGATCCGAGCAGCGAGCTGATGAGTCGCCGCGGTGAGATGGGCGGAGGAGGGGTTGATAGAGGCGGCAGCAGCTGAAAGGGAGGCAGAGGCGGAGGGCAGGCCAGGGACCGACTGAGAGGCGGCGAGCTGATGCGTCGCCGCGGTGAGATGGGCGGAGGAGGGGTTGATAGAGGCGGCAGCAGCTGAAAGGGAGGCAGAGGCGGAGGGCAGGCCAGGGACCGACTGAGAGGCGGCGAGCTGATGCGTCGCCGCGGTGAGATGGGCGGAGGAGGGGTTGATAGAGGCGGCAGCAGCTGAAAGGGAGGCAGAGGCGGAGGGCAGGCCAGGGACCGACTGAGAGGCGGCGAGCTGATGCGTCGCCGCGGTGAGATGGGCGGAGGAGGGGTTGATAGAGGCGGCAGCAGCTGAAAGGGAGGCAGAGGCGGAGGGCAGGCCAGGGACCGACTGAGAGGCGGCGAGCTGATGCGTCGCCGCGGTGAGATGGGCGGAGGAGGGGTTGATAGAGGCGGCAGCAGCTAAAAGGGTTTCGTCATGTGCATGTTGTCCATTGTCATGAGTGTCTTTGTCTGCTCCACAACCGCCATCAGCAAGTGCATCAGCGCGGCTTTTCTTGCCCGTGCGCACGGGTGTCGAACGTTTCCCCTTCCGCACTTCTTTAGTTTTCCTCGCACGGGACTGGCACGTAGTACCACCCGTCCACGACACATTGTTCAGCGACACGAATTTCGAGCCTGTGGAATAGGGTTGTAAAACAATCAGAAATAGCAATAAGTACATTTGTATAGTAATGGGCTTGACCAGACATGGCGCATGCCATATGTTCGTAAGAAAGGCTACGAGTAGTGTGACGTACCTTCAGCAAACACGTCGTCCTCGGACTCGCCTTGTGCTAGCCCATTGCTGTGCATCGCGATGGCTTCCGGTGAGCCAAAGGTACCCACAGCCGGGTTTGAGGTAACATCAGCGGCTCTTCTAGGAAGAACCGCAGCTATAAAGGGACTTGGCACGGGCTGCATTGAGTAACTCCTGAATGGGCCGAGAGTTGGTTGATTGGCCGTAGGGATAGCTGGCGCCGAATGAACAAAACTAGAATGCCGCAATCTCACCTAAAGTACCAGATTGAATAGCATAGGGACCCAGTCGCGTATGAAGATCAGGCAGAGGCTACTAATTTACCGAGTGTGCACAACAATCAAGGAATGGCGAAAGTACCACAAAGAGAAAGGTGGTTGTTGACGGGAGCAAAGAGACGGGGTGGGGGGATGGGATTGTCGAACGGGATGGGATGGGATGGTCGCGCCAGTTGCGCAGCACCGTCCAAGCTGCAGAGTTTATCTCACGGTCGACGTGAGGGGCGCTTTGACAGCACATCTAAGTGCTGGATCGAACTGTGCGTGACCACCCCAAGGGCGCGCACTTCTAGTTCGTTTGGATGCGGCTTAAGTAGATAGTTCACGTTTTTCGGCGGTAACAACCTTTTTTCGTCAGGTCTAGATGGGTCTTGAGCGCGAACGAGACGTGAAGAAGCGCCCCGTTACAAGGTTGCAGCGTGAGATCTGAGAGTGAGTTGCAAAAAAATATACAGCCTATCCATTATTGCAAGACACTTGAACTATCACATACTTTTGCTGCATCTTGCGCACAACTAAATCCGTTGGGATTTCATTAATCCTGGTGAATTAAGGTTTTTGGTGTGTCCTAGTGTATACAAACAACAAGACACTTTGTCAGGGTGCACTATGCAGCTATATGTTACGAGTGCAATTAGGTGAGCAACCGAGAATTGCACTATCGAAGCCGAACAGTACAAGCAAACGAAGGAATGAGCGAGACCTAAATAGCGAACGCCACAGTGGTGACAGCGACGAACTGTGGGTGATGCGCGACGGACCTGGGACTTAGGCCGGGATGTGTCGAAGCGGAGGCCCGAAGAGCGAGTCACCAGCCGAGCCACGAGGATGGGGTGCGACGGGCAAGGTGGCGAGAAATAGTCGAGGCGAATGTCGCGAGGGGTAACGGTGGCGAGTGTGACGAGTGAATGATGTACGCGCTAAGCAGGGATGCGGCGTATGGAAATTGGAATTTCCTTACACTACCGTAGGGATCCAAGGTCATGGGATATGTATAATATTGTCCGTAAGTCAAGTGAAACGGTGACTGTTGGGTGTTGGCCGATGGCGAGTTATTATATGTGAACTCGATGAGTGGCAGTTGTTGTTCCCACCTGCCTGGGTCGTCGCATGTGGCTAGGATGAGCTGCTCCATGGTCTGATTTGTCCGTTCTGTCTGTCCGTCGGTTTCAGGGTGGTACGAAAAAATAAACTGTAGTCGTGTGCCGAACTGCTGCCACAGGTTCCGCCAGAAATTGCTGTTGCATTTCGAGTCCATATCGCTAATGATTGGATCCTGGTATCCCGTGTAGTCGAACGACGGTGGCGATAAAGTGCCAAGCTGTTTAGTCAGCTGAGATAGATTTATTGCATGCTGCGAAGTGCGCCATCTTCGGCAACCGATCAAGGACGACCAGGATCGCATCGTGCCTGTGAAGATCCACTCTACAATGGTAGTGAGCTATACTACGGGGTTAGCACGAACTACTAGGAGTGATCGTTGCTTTGCTTGGCTCCTTAGCAATTGCGCATCGACGGGAGAGATTGGCAAGAGTTTCCACTAGCAAAGTTGGAATTACAGAATGATTGAACAAGCAATGACAGAATGACTACATCAGGCACCTAGCAACTCTGCAGCTAGCCTGGTCGACCGCCAGCACTGCATGGTCGACCTCTTGCCAGCGTTGCGTAGAGGAGCCGCGCCAGCACTGCAGAAGAGCGACCTGCCAACGCTGCAGGTCGACGGCGTGCCAACGCTGCAGCTGTGCGGCTGTCCAGCGTTGCCCCATAGAAGACAGGTACGCACGCTCACAGGTGCGCGCAGACGATTGGCCCGACTTGCCTTGTTGGGCATCCGTCGACTTATGTCTGCGCCTGACGAGCCACATCGACTTCGGGATACCAGCCCACAGTCTCCTTCGTCATTGCGACCTCGACGACATTCGTGTGCCTCCGCCGAGCTCGTCAAGCAGGTTACCTGGTCGACCTGGACACCACCAGATGCTCCGGGTCGACCACCAGGTGCCTTCGGTCGAGCACCAAGTACTCTGGTCGACCGTAGCTCCCGTCGAGCATCTCCCCTCGTCGACCGCTGCTCACTTGTCAGGTCGACGGACTTCTCCGCTGACCTCCCCGTCGAACTGCGCGTCGACCGTCAGCTCCGTCGACCTCCCCGTCGAGCTGTAGGTCGACGGACTGCTCCGTCGACCTCCCGGTCAAACTGCCCCTCCTGGTCAACGGCCCACCCGTCGCCCAGACCGGTCAGTTGCAGCAGTCGAGATCTTTGGTCGAAGCAACACCACAGTGGTCACCTGCAGCTGGACGTAGCCTGTCGAGCAGCACTCTCACTGTCAACGGTCGGCTGCTACTCCCGTACATCCGACCAAGTCGCCGACGTTGCCCAAGTGATGGCGGGGCCAACACTTCATTCCCGTTAACAGCGTAGAGGAGCCGCGCCAGCACTGCAGAAAGGCGACCTGCCAACGCAGCATGTCAACGGCGTGCAAACATTGTAGCAGTGCGGCTGTCCAGCGTTGCATCGGTGTATGGCAGCAGTGCGCACGCTCGCAGGTGCGCACAGGCGATTCGCCCGACTTGCATCGTTGGCATCCGTCGGCTGTTGTCTGCGCCTGACGAGCCATATCGATTGCGGGATACCAGCCCGAAGTCGCCTTCGCCATCGCGACTTGTAGGGTGGGCGTGCCTCCGCAGAACTCGTCGAGCAGGTTACCTGGTCGACCTGGACACCACCAGGTGCTCTGGTCGACCACCAGTGCCTCCGGTCGACCACCAGGTGCCTCTGATCTACCACAGCTCCCTCTAGTCGACCACCAGGTGCATCTGGTTGACCACAGCTCCCTCTGGTCGACCATCAGGTGCCGCTGGTCGACCACCGCTCCCGTCGAGCTACCCCCTGTTCGACGGACCCTGCCGCTTCCGTGATGATTTCATGAGTTGGCAGGGTTTCTTCGCTGCTTCGTCCTCGACGTAACTCACGTCGAAGAAGACGTTCACTGTGAACATCCACGATGAATTGTCGGGCCTCCACGTTGGCTCGGAGCGAAACAGGGCGGGCGCTGCGACGTGAGTTGCATCGCGTCATGACTTCATTGTTGCCGCTCGCTGCCGCGAACATCATTTTCATGCACGACGTGCACTGTCACACACATTGCGCAGGTTGTCAGCCACATGCTGACGGTTGCACATGATGAGCCACGTCGACCACGTGCTGCCACGTCGGTCGACTTCGCCACAGCAGCCTCGACGACGTTCGCACACCTTCGCGCACCTCGTCGAGCAAGGAACTTGGTCAACCAGGTGAAGTCCCTGACAACTCTGCAAGATGACGACCTGTTGTTCTGTGACTGTAACATCATGCTCTCACGCCTCTCCTTTCGTACGCCTTTTGCAACCTCGCTTGCACATTCCACACCCCAACCCGTTCCCACCAGACCCACCCCACCCTTCCCCCTACTCCACACCGACACCACCCGCTTCCGTCCTTCATCTTCAGCCGCGTCTAATTTTCGAGCATCTTTGTTGAATGCGTGCGTGTGCGTCTGTTTGTGTGCGTGTGAGTGTGTGTGTGCGGGCCTGTGTGTGCTTGTGCGTGTGTGTGCGTGCGCGTGAGTGCGTGTGTGTGTGTCGATGTGTGTGGGAGTGTGTGTGGACGTGGAATTCGGCCAGGCTGCTCTCTATTCCGCGGATCTCATATCAACCACGCCTGTCCACACGATTCGCCTAAACTCTTCGGCACCGTGTGCTGCCTTGTGTTGCGCAGTGTGAGTAATGGCCATGAGAGGAAGGTGGATGGGTGCAAGAAGAGAGGGGACTTGGGAATGGGCATGGGGAAAATGGAGGGCCATGATTATGTCCCACCCTTTGCACATTCAATCCATAGCACCTTTCCGTATTACTCACTTTCTCACGGTCGTGTAGAGCTAACGTTGTTCTGTGACTGTAACATCAAGCTTTCACGCCTCTCCTCTTGTACGTCGTTTGCGAACTCGCTTGCACATTCCACACCCCAACCCCTCCGCCCAACCCACCCCACCCTTCTCCCTTCTCCCCACCCGCACCACTCTCCTCCTTCCATCATCTTCGTCTGCAACTAATTTCCGAGCATTTTGTGTGGGAGCGTGCGTTTGTGTCGGTTTGCGTGCATGTGAGTGTGTGTGTGGGGGTGGGATTGTGTGAGGGTGAGCAGGGACTGTGTGTGTGTAAGCTGTGGGTTTGTGTGTGTGGGATGTATGTGTGGGTGGGATTGTGCATATGTACTACACATTCCCCCACTGTTATTATTGTTCCCTCATTGTCCCAAACAGTTCCGGCAGAATTCAACATGGACAACCCGGCCGAGTTTGCACCGCCTGCTGAGAGCGGAGGGTTAGATGGTGACCTCCCAATCCCCGACGAGTCAGGGACAGGTACTTAAGATGAGCTAGGATGCGATCACACGTATAATCGCTATGAGCTAGGATGCGATCACACATATAATCGCTTGTTCTCGTAATGCATGGGTACCATGGCCTATCCACTTTGATCCTAAGCTACGCTGCCCTTTCACTCTCTCCGTCCTCTATGGACCCTCACAGTGCCCTTTGCTCTCTCCCTCCCCTCTTCTCCCTCACTCCCCTCTGTTCTATCTATCCCGTCTTCTCCGGCTCTCCCCTCTTCCCCCCCTCCCTCTGCTCTATCACTCCCCGCTCTCGGATCTGCTCATATCTGCCCGAATTCACCCCATGCTCTCAATCTGCCCTATCTCTACCCTCTTGCCGCCCATGTTTCCCAGCCATGGA